AAACAAACAAACAAACAAGACAAACAAACAAAACCAGTAACAACAAAAAACCCCCACCAGGATAAATGCAGGCTAGGATATAGACAAGAAGGAACTCGAAGTATGCTAGTGATAAGGTTTTGCACAGCCACTATGGAACTCAGTAGAGGGTTCATTCAAAACCTACAAACAGGGCTGGGGAGATAGCTTGGCAGTCTAATCACCTGCCTGGCAAGCACAAGGATCCAGGTTTGATCCTGGGTACCACATGCTATGCTGTACCCAGAATTCCAGGCACGCCTTGCCAGGCACCAAGACTGGGAACGGTGGTGCTTGCCTGTAATCCCAGCACTGTGCAGGCTGAAATAGTACTACGAGTCCAAGCTGTGAAGCAAGACCCTGTATTAAATAAATAATAAAAACCACCTAAGAACAGAATTAGCATGTGACCCAGTTATAGCACTCCTCCACATATACCCCAAGGATTTAAAGACTGCATACTGTGGGATACCTGCATACCCATGTTTGCCACAGCACAATTTATAACAGCCAAGAGAGAGAACCAGCCTGGGTAGCCATCAAAAGATGAATGTACAAAGAAATTGTGATATATAAACACAACTGAATATTTCTCCTTAAAGATGAATAAAATTTTGCAATTTGTTGGATAATGAATGGAACTAGACACTATAAGTAAAATAAGCCAAGCTTAGAAAGACAATTACCTTAAGGTTTCTCTAATACGTAAAACTGAAAAATGGTGACATGAAAGTAGAAGGGAGACTGCCAGTAGAAAAGAGTAATGGAATAACAGGGAAGAGGAGTACAAGGGAGAATAATGGCAGGCATACGTATGATCAAAATACATCATATTCATTGAAACTCAATAGTTTGTAGTGTTAATAGGCACTCAAAAATATATTTTACTTTATTTATTTATTTGTTTTGTTTTGTTTTTGGTGGAACCAGGGATTGAACTTAGGCCCTTGCGCTTGCCAGGGAAGCACTTGTTCTCCTGAGCCATCTCCCCAGCCCTATTGATTTATTTTTGAGACAGAGTCTCACTATGTAGTTCAGGCTGGCCTTGAACTCACAGTGATCCTCTAGCCTCAACCTTCTTGAGTGCACAGATCACAGGCATGCCCTACAACACTTGGTCATAAAATATAATTTAAAAGAAAACCCAAAAAGATACACAATGGACGGAGAAATAAGAGATACATATCACATACAAGAAGATTTCTAGAATTTGTAAAGATTTCCAATGTATCAATAATAAAAAAACTAA